GCAGGAATGTAGTCACACAGGGCCATGTGGGGCTGCAAGGGAGTCTGGGAAACGCGGTCCTTAACTTGGCAGTGAAAAATGGGGAAAGAGGGCTGGGGGTGGTCAGCGTGCAGCCCACCACACTGTTCCCCTCCATGTCACCTTCTCCAGGCAGACACCCCTGGCTGCACCTGGCAGATGTACCCTCTTTTCTGAGCTGTCAGGATCCTGATGGAGTCAAGGCAGTTTTATGGCCAAGGGCACCAGGGCTTCCCCCCGTCTAGTCTTCTCTCTCAGCACCAGCAGACCAGCCTCAATTACTCTCACTGAGCTGTCCCCAGGCCACAGAGGGAGACCCTGAACCCTGGCAGGACAGGACAAAAACCAGGACCTGGCTGGACTCCTCACCCCTCTGGCCTCAGCTCCTCAATTGTCAAATGGGGGTGCTGCTTATCCGGCCTCCTTGCGAGGCTGCCGTGAGGCGTGAACCCCGGCGGGGTGGAGGTGGGGGCACTCGTGCTGCCCAGGGGAGCTGACGTTGTCACCTGGCTGTGGCGGGGAGGGGAGACACCCAGAGAGGCAACCCTGGTCCCAGTGGGGATGAGCAGGGGCCAGGATGTTGGGTGCAGATAAGAGAGGCTCAAGACTGAGGCGAGTCAGGACACCTAGAAATGGGAAACGTGGCTGCACGGAGACCTGCGGGGCCCTGGAGGACTTCCGTTTCCCTTGGGCATGGGGAGAGGGCCGAATCAGCCATACGCCTCAGTTTCTAGCCTCGCAAGACCCCTCTCTGGTTCCATTATTTACCTCCTCTGTCCCCATTTTCCACTCACTTCCGCTAGGCTGCCATCTATGTATATTCTTCACACGTGCTCTTCCAGAGTGTGTGTTGAACTTCTGAAAAACTCCCCCTTGATTATACTTGAAGACTGTATATCACAAATAAAAACGATTCTCTTAAAGTGTGGTGGAGTCAGGAGGTGGCAGGGACTCCGTGTGGGGTGTGACACTCACAGAGGGTTGGGGGCGGGAGGCAGTGCTCCTAGAGGGACAGAGTGAAGCGGGAAGGGCCCTCCCGGCCAGCAGCCCAGGTGTGGGTGTGGGTAGGATGAGTCTGGGGGAAGCGATGCGAGGGGCGGGGAGGGACCCTGCTCCAGTCTGGCGATGCTCAGTTCAGGGGTCCGAACTTGATGCCGTGGGCAGGGCCACACCCCAGTGGAAGGGGTGTTGGAAGAAGACAGCTCCTGACTCCTCCCCCCGTCTCTCTCCTTCCAGCGCTGGCCACCAAACAGACCTACGTCGCCTACACCAATCATGCAATCTAGCTAGGCCACCGGAGCTGCACAGGAGGCGGAGAACAGACCCTTGTGGATGGTGCATCGGGCCAGCCCCCCCCACCCCCGCTGCAGGGGGGCCCAGCTTATGTCCTAACTGCCTGTGGTCACCCACGGACGTGGCTTGGTGCTGAAGATAGCACAGCCCCCAGCGGTCACTGCTGGGTTGCCTGGGCAAGCTGGGCTGGTGACAGGAGGAGGAGGAGGGGCCAGGGAAGCTTCAGACCACCCCAAGACCCTGTGTCCTGGACCAAAACCCCTCCCAGCCCCAAACCACAGGAGGCCCCCCTGCGCTGGTTTTCTCTCTCCCTCGTCTCTCTCCATCCTATTGGTGACCTTCTCAGTCTGTCTCCATCCCTGTCTTTATTTTCTCTTCTCTCTTTGTATCACCTGTTCTCTCTGTGTCTGTCTGCTCTTTCTGTATCTTCTTTCTTTCTGTCTCTGCCTTTTCTCTGCCGTCTCCAGCTTTCTCCTGTCTTTTCTCTTGTGCTCCACCCGGGTCTCCCCTCTTGTGCATTTTTGTTTCCTGTCAGCCCCCTCCTCACCTTCATTTACATCCAACCTTTGTTCTCTCTCCCTGCCATCCTTTCCTAATTCACCAAATCTCACATGTCGCAAAAGAGAAAAAAGGAAAAAAAAATCAAAACACAAAAAAGCCAAAACTAAAACAAATCTCGAGTGTCTTGCAAAGTGCTGCATCCTCCTGGTGGCCTCTGTGTGTGTCCCCATGGCCCGCAGCTTGCCCACCTACCCCCGCCCGTCTGCCATGTGTCCTGCCCGCCTGCCCCTCCTGCCGATGACACGGAGTTCAGTGCCTGGGTGTTTGGTGATGGTTATTGATGACAATGTGTAGCGCATGATTGTTTTTATACCAAGAACATTTCTAATAAAAGTAAACACATGGTTTTGCACCCTGGCTTCACATCCACTGAGGGTCCTGCGGTGGGACCCCCGGCTCAGCCTAAAGCTGGAGAGTCTGGAGTTAGCGGGAAGGAGGAAATGGCTGATAGGGACATAGGGCTTGGGGGCAGTGGAGGCTGCTCCCTGGGCTGGCATCGGGTGGGGTCTTGGAGAGTCCTTGGGCAGGGAGGGGCCAGGACACCGTGGGAGGTTCCAGAAATCAGCCCCTGGTACTCCCCTAAGTAAGGGGGATGTTCTGTCCCTGTCCTCTGTCCTGCAGCCCCTAAGGAGGGAACCATTTCTGCCCTGCCTCTCCTCTGGCTCACATCCCTCATGACTGAGCCCCACACCCCCATCCCATAACCTGAGCCACTCCTCCCCTTCCAGCCAGGAAACTCTTCTCTTGAGAAATCGCCTTCCGGAGCTCCCAGCATCCACAGCCCTCCCCTCCTGCCTGTCCTGTCTTCAGGTCACAGGTGCTGGGATGATGTGTGACTGTCTTGGTGATGAGTGTGTGGTGCGTGGCCAGGTGGGCCAGGTGCACGGCACAGGTGTGTGTGTGTGTGTGTGTGTGTGTGTGTGTGTTTCCCCCAGCCCTGTGCATGTCCGTTTTATCTGTGTGTGTGTGTGTGTGTGCTCCTGCACCTCCATATTCAAGCTTGTTTGTCTTGTGGGAGTGTCTGTCTGTCTGTTTAGGTGCACGTAGGTGTGAGTCCACATCACACCCATGTCGTGAGGAGGCCTGTCCTGGGCAAGTGTGAGAGTGAGTTCACAGCAGCTGGCTTCCGTGGCAGATTGGGAGATAGGGAGCGAGAGCCGCCCAGGGGCTGGGCCCTGCCAGGGGTAAATTATAGAGCCAGTAACACAATGAGACCACAGGCAGCAGCTAGCGCCCGGGCTGCCCGTGCCGCCCCTTCCTGCCACACCCCCAGGCCCGTATCCCCTTCCACCTCCTCCGCTAATTGACGGGGGGCGGGGCTTGGAGGGACCCGGTGGGGGCAGGAGGGGACTAGGTGTGGGCGTGTGTGAGAGGTGAGGCTGCGGCATTCAATCATGCCACGTGTTAGTGCCCCTCTGTCAGCCCGTCTACTCCTGTGGGGGCGGGCTGCACTTGGGAGTCCATTCTCCCCGAGGGTCTATGTGACACACAATGCGTGTGTGTGCAGCGCCTACTGTATGCTCAGTAAATATGTGTGTAAGGGAAGGGGCAGGGAAGGAGGTCTCACACTGATCATCTTGCTTTCAAAGAATGGTTCCTGAGACTGCCACCCGGCATAGATTCTACCCAGTGCCCCAGGGTAATCAGACAAAACTAGGGTGTCAGTCCAAGAGCGTCCTCCAGAAGCTTCCAGGGCAGTATATGTGGGGGTGGGGTGGGGAGGAGCTGGATGTAGAAGGGGAGTGGGGCCTCTGATAGCACCCCCGGCCTGGGCACCTTGGTCCCTCTCTGGTCCATGTCTCTCTACAGTGATCGCCATGCTGGGGCCCAAGTCTAGACAGGGTCTGGCCTAGACTGAGGGTCTGGCCTGGAACTCAAGGGTTTGACACTCAGCCCAGGACTTTCCCATGTCCTCCACATCTGTGGAGCCCCTTTCTAGGTTCCAGGGAGAATCACCTTCCTTCCAAGGTGGTGCTGCCCCCTCTGCTCCCCTCCCTTCAAGGCCTCCTAGGGGGAGGAGGAGGCCGAGAGTCAGGCCAGGGTGGGCTCTCGGTGGGGCTTAGGCCCATCGGGCATCCCTGAGGCTTGGCCTAGTCCAGCCTGCCTGGGGCACTGAGAAGGGGCAGGTGGGAGGGGGCGCATCTGGGCCCTGCCCTCAGGAGGCCACCAGTTGGATGGGGGAGACAGCCCTCAGGGAGCCAAACAGCCTAGAAATGCTGATGGTCCCAAAGAAACATAATTATGGGAATGAGTGGGTTAAGTGGGGAAGGCTTGGATGGGGTGTGAATGCTGAGCCATTGGGTCTAGTACAGAGGAGAGGTGTGCAGGCTCCGTGGTTCAGAGCTGGAGAGGAGGGACCAGTCCCCAGCAGGACTTGTGGAAGTCAGGTCTGTAGCAGCAGTGTGGAACGGAAGACATCCAGGTTCGTGAGGCCAGGGCTGGGATTCCACAGCTGGGGCCTGCCCTGATGCACATGGTGGGGAAGACCTTCCCGGGCTAGTTGGCTGCCCATCTTTGCTCTCCATCTCATATTCTTTTTTTTTTTTTTTTTTTTGGTGGTACGCAGGCCTCTCGCTGTTGTGGCCTCTCCCGTTGCGGAGCACAGGCTCCGGACGCGCAGGCTCAGCGGCCATGGCTCACGGGCCCAGCTGCTCCGCAGCATGTGGGATCTTCCCGGACTGGGGCACGAACCCGTGTCCCCTGCGTCAGCAGGCAGACTCTCAACCACTGCGCCACCAGGGAAGCCCCATCCCATATTCTTAATTCACCAGGCTCATGGGACACCCGAGAAAGGTGGACAGATATTTGTATCTTCAGGATTTTCTATTTCAATGAGATGGGGGGTTTGCAGTGTCCCTGGCTCCCTGGACCAAGCCGGCGGCCCCCAGAAACCTTTGCTCTGCAAGAGGAGTGATGGGGTCTCCACAGGCTCTGCTCTTACCCCTCCCCTGGGGCCTCATTCTCCGAGTGAGAGGCCCAGGGGTGAGATCAGGGGCAGACCCCATGGCTGCTCTCCTCAGGGCAGGATGAAAGGATTAGGCTAGTGGAGATTTTACCCCCACCAGAACTTTTAGACTATGCAGATGCTGGGCCCTCCCCAGAAGGACTGGATCTGAGGCCCTGTGGGTGCGTTGGCACAAGTGTGCTTTACAAGCTCCCCAGGAGATCGGAGGCAGCCCAGTGGGCCAGGTGAATGAACATTCCAACAACAGAACCTTAAATCAGCATCAGCATCCCTGGGAACTTGTTAGAAAATTAAATTATGGGCTTCCTCCCCACCCCCACCCCAGGTGGGCTGAACTGGAAGCTCTGGGGGTGGGTCCTTAAGTCCATTTTATAGGCCCTGCAGGTCACTTCTGTGCAAAACCAAGCTTGAGAACCACTGCCTAAGACTGTGTGTTAAAAGGCCAATGTGTGAGATTGAAATATGTTTGTGGGAGGGCAGGTGGAGGGTGGAGTTCAGGCCTAGGGCTCCTGGGGCCTGGGGAGTTCCTGGGATGCAGGACTTTCAGTGCTAAAACCAAGAGAGTCCTGGAAAAATCTAGACAAATCTGATAAGACCCCTTTCCTTATTCATTCAACAGATATCAAGTACTTACCATGAGCCAGGCCCCGGGTATGCAGTGGTGAATGAGCCAGGTGTGGTACCAGACCTTGGGGTTTCTGCAGCCAGTAGAGAAGAATGCCATTCAAGAGCTTTTTGAGGCTCCAAACCAAGACCAGGCTGCTACCTGCCCTGAGCAGGAGCCCACTGAGCTCCCAGGCTGGCTGGGCACACGGGGCACCTCTGTGGAGCTCCCAGGATCCTGGGGACTCAGCTTCGGAAGCAGTATCCAAGCTTGGATACCTTCCAGCTCAGATGGGCTGGTTCTGAGTTCCAGTGTCCTATGGTCAGTTTCTCCCATCCTGTCTTCTTGGGCTCTAGAGGCAGAGGCAAGGGGGCCAGGGGGTGGCCTGTTAGCACCACGCCAGGTCCCCTGCACCACTTTAGCCTCCAGGCCCAGGGAGGGGTCCTCGGGAGCCCGCAGGAGGAGGCTGCGCTTTTAGGAGGCTGTGCCCCTCCCTGGCCAGAGGTCAGACCGTGGACCCTTTTTTTTGATGCTCTCACTTTTTTTGATGCTGCTCCCTCCCCCCAAGCCTGGGGTTTCCATCCAGCCCCTGAACACTGAGGGGAGACTGAGGGGCTCTGCCCGGCACGAGAGCCCCTCTCTACCCCTGTGCCTGCCCTGCCCTGCCCTTCCCCACTGTCCCACAGGCCTTGGCCCTGGCACTCTGAGCTTCCCAGGGCTTCGACTTCCCTGCAGACACCCCGGCACCAAGTGGTACACAGTGCCAAAATCTCACTTCAGTTGGCAAAAGCAGCAATTAGCATCTAATGAGGCTTCGTGCTTTATTTTTAGGTAACCTCCAAGGCCCTGCCTATGTAATTCAGCCCGCCATTGCTCGGCAGATAATTAAAGCATGTCACCGTAATTTGCCTTTTTTTTTTTTTTTTTTTTTTTTTTTTTTTTTATAAAGCCCATAATTAGAAGGAAAAACGCCAAAAAGAGGAGGGAAAGAAAACAAAGAGAGATGGAGTTGGGGCAGGAAACGGGGCTTGGCTGCCCCAGCCAGGAACCTCTGCTCCATCGGTAGGACCAGGAGCCCCATTCTGGGAGCATGTACCCCTGGGGCCTCCCTAACCTCAGGGGCTGCCCCAGGTACTTCCTGCCCAAGACTCCCCCCTTGTTGGCTGCCCTTGCTTGCACTTCTGGGGTCTTCCTCTTCCAGGTTAGATGTGGGGGAGACGAGCTTCCTGTTCTTCCAGTTCTTTCCTTATAAAACG